TAAACTTAATTTATTTGAAAAAATAGAAAATTACAAAACTTATTCTACTTATTAACTTAATTTTACGAAATTAATCCTAACTTTGTAAAGCAGTTGTTAAACTGCTCATCCAAGACAGAATTCTTTTAATAATATTGACTTCTTTATCGACAATATCATTCCTTTGACCGGCGAAAAACTTGTTACCTTCTTTTACAAGCATTTTTTCGTTGTTTTCCTCAAATTTTTCTACTTGATTGTCCAAATCGTCTAGCTGTTTTTTCAGTGAGTTTATCTCACCCAAATGATAGGTTTCTTGAAGTTTGTCCAAGTTATTATTAAAAGTTTTTAAGTTGTTTTCAAGAAAATATGTTGGATTTTTCAAAGATTGTTGTGAAGTTAGTATATCGTTAGATTTAGGGATGTTATTTCTTAAGTTTTGTAGTAAAAACTTTTCTTTTTCTAGTAAAGGCAAATTAATGGCATTTTCTTCGTTCAAAAGCTGTTGTAAGTTAGTATCAAACGTTCCATCTTGGTTAATGAGGTTTTTTAGTTTAAAATATTCTTTATCAAGGTAATTTTTTGGATTAATCTTAGGAATATCACTGATTTTATCTGTTCTGATGCCTTTAACAATTGCGTTGTTTGTTTGATCAATGTCTTTCTGAACCTCGTTCACAGTCTTGCTAAAGGAATGTTTGATTTTTTTCCCAAAATCGTTAATTTCGTTTAGGACATTATCCAAATTTGGATTTGGGTATTTTGACATATCGGGAGATCTTTTTGACAGCTCAGATTTATGCCTTTTCGAACCATCCATAATAGTATTTTCAATGTTTAACTGGTCTTCAATCTCGGCTTCTTTTTCCAAGATGGCGCCCACTGTTTCTTCGATAACTGCAGGATTCTTTGGACAGGTTGTGTTTTTGCAGGCGCACAACTTTTCAAGGTCTAGAGATAGGTCCAGAGTGCCGTCTTCTTGCTTGACTATCTTCATGGGAAGTTTGATACCGCTGGCCATGAAAAATACTTCATTGGGATTGGACGAAGCCGATACTATTTGGCCTAAGCTGCTTGACCAATCAGCTGCAGGCTGTGTCTGAAAAAAAAACCTATTTCAAAGATAACTAGGGACAATAATAGACTCTACTATGTACCAAAAATTTACTAGTGTGTTACTAAAGCTGTATTAAATGTACTTACACTTTCCAGAGTATCTCTACTTTCCAAACTAGGCACCAACTGCTCATCTGTATCCCCAATTACTTCACCACCGCTATTGGTATCTCCAAGTACACTTTCAGGTGAATTTGGTACCACACTTTGCAGATTTTCTTCATTGGGACCACCATTGACAATTTCATAAACAGTAGGCTCAGATTTCTTAGCCATCCGTTCTTTCAACATGCTTTTCAAGTTGTCCATCATTGCATTCAGCTCAGACTTTTGTTTCTCTATGGATTTTGGAGTGGTCAACCCAGTTATTCTGCTTGTAACAGGTTGAATTGGTTGGAGTCTGTTCTTGATCAAAGGAGGTTGCTGTTTGACGGTTTCTTGATCCACGCGAGGTTTTTTGACTTTAGCCATGTATTCTTGTAATTTAGCTTTCAACGCCTTTTTCTTAGCATCTTTGTTGCCAAACATACTTTCAGTTCTTTGATTCGGAGTGTTTTCAGTGATTGGATCATTACCAAATCTCGAATTCAGTAAATTTTCAGTGTTCTGAGCTGGCTTCAAGAAAGGTTTGTCCAAATTCATTCTGGATTTGAGTTTTTCAAAATATTTTTTTATTTTTTCCGGCTGCTTAGATACAACTTGACTATCCAAGCTATTTTCGGTCGGTTTTTCATCAAAGGAGACTTCAGTTCTAAATTTCCATCGTTTTCATTGTTTCTGCCTTGGGCTAAATGATATGGAAATTCTTCTGGAGGTAGTATCATTTTTGGAAATGGTGTATTAAGTTTGTTGAGAAATTCTCTGGTTTCTTCGTTCTGGTCTACAGATTCCGGTGTTGTTACTTCGTCAGGTGATTCCATTGCTAAATTTCCATCATTAATATCACTCCTTCCTTTGGCTAAGTGGTAAGAAAACTCTTCTGGTGCTTTGTCAAGTTTGGGAAAAGGCGTAGAGAGCTTTCTTAAGAACTCCCTTGTTTCATCTTCATCTTGTACTGATTTTAGATTAGACTGTGCCTTTTTAGCAGCATTTTGAAGATTGGCTTTCTCCAAGTTCATTCTAGATTTCAATTTGGATACATATTTCTTCAATTTATCAGGTTTTTCAACATACTGTCCTTTATTTTCATTAATATTTTCATTTCTATCCAAGTTGGGTAAATCATTATTTGGTCTAGCCTCAACCATACCATCTATGGCATTATCATTTTCAATATTCTGATTCTTCTGACCTCTTTTTGTTTTAGCATCTTCAATATAACTCTGTATCTTGTCTTTAAGTAGTTCTCTCTGTTTGTTTAAGCTCTCTAAAATGCTATTTGTTACAGCTTCTGTATTTGTATCACTACTGTCATCTCCAGATCTCGATAAAATCGAATTTTGTGGGTTTATTCTTGCACTTTTAAGATTGTAGGGGTCTTTTGTGTTATCCAGTTTGAATTTTTCAAGCGAATAAATTTTCTGTCGTTTTTCCTTTAATTCTGCCAAGTATTTATCGAGTTTAGTTTTGTAAGTTTTCGTTGTTGGAGATTCTACAGGAGTTGTTTCAATAGGGTCCTCGTTGTTGTTTGACAGCCCAACATTTTCAGACAAAGTATCATCATTACCAAACCTTTCTTTGACTTCAACGTTATTCTCATTTATTGAACCATTTTCAACAGTTTTACCATTTGATAACTTGCTCAAAGAATCTTGCACCCTGTCCAAAACATACTGAGGCATCTTTTGAAGTTGCTTAACAAGTTTTTAGTCATGTCGGAATGTTCGTCCTTCAAACTGTCCTGCTTTTCTGCATTTTCTGGGTCTTTATGGCATCCAGGACGTCCTGAGCTCGATTTTTGATGTACTGGTTGACTTTTTTGAAGTTATCGACTACGTGATTGGGCAAAACAGGGTTGGGTGTTGCCGGACTGGCTGCTGAAGATAGGTCAGAGCCTAAAAGTCTGTTTTCTGAGGCTTTCGAAGCGTCCTCTTGCATTTTGCGGACTATGGATTGGACTTCTTGAATTGCGTCGTTGATTTTGATATTTGACCGTCTGCATCAACGGGTTTTGTAGACGGAGATTCTATTGGATCACCTAAAACTACAAAAAGTTTTGATAAATCAATGTACAAATAAAAAAATAAAAAGCTTTGCTTACCACTAAGAGGGTCAATTATTTCTTCTGTTTTGTGCATTCCTTTAAACAACGGAACACTAGTGACTTCAGGAATCTCATCAGAATCACTTTTGGTAGACGAATCTTGTAAATTCTTAGGCAGGACACTCTTTAGTGTTGGGGGGAGACGATAATTTTTTTAATCTCTTCTCAGTAAGTTCTTTTTAGTCTTGAGATCAAAGAAGGCTTGCCGGTTGTTATTATTTTGTTTGGTTTGATGATGCTATCTATGGCTTGGTCAGATGGAACGGTTGGTGAGTCTACTGAATTATCTGGTGAATCTGATTCAAACTCTGGAGGTTCAACAATGATCTACGAATGTTAAAGGTAAATTGTAAAATAGTTTGGTTAGGTAAATTATGTAAACATACATTGCTGTTTGTAGGTCCAGTAATGGCTTCAGAAGGATCAATCTAAAAAGAAATAATTAAAAAAAAAAACAATTAAACGTAAAGGTCTCACAAAATTCGAATTTATGTAGTCTAAAAGTATTATTTCTTTTTAATTAATTATAATTAATAAAGAAATAATACGTTTTGACTACAGAATACTATAATAATTAGGACAGAATTAATCGAAAAATACTTATAATTTATTGGTGATCTTACATTGTTGTTGGTTCCTAGCAATGGAGGGGGTCCTTCTATAATATCAGGATTTCTTCTAATGTTTTCGTTGTCATCGTCACTGATTCTGGGGAACTGATCTTCATCGTATCTGAAAATATATACATTTTTAATGTAGGTCTAACTGAGTCAGTAATACATAATTCTTGTTTCTTACTCGTTGAATCTAGATTTCAAGTCAGGATTAGGCTCATTTGAATCCGTAATCTGAAAATACAGTAAGAAATAACAGTAAAATTACAGTTAATACTAATTTTGCATATGAAAATAAATAAAACATAACATTTATAATTAAAGTTCTGCTACTCTGGGTGCGAGTCTACCAAGGGATAGACTATATAGTTGTAAGGTATAAAAAATATCCGTAAAACCGTCTCTGATACTGGCTTTTGTTGTAGTAAAAATATGAATGAACATATATATTTACATGTTTGCTGTCAGATCCTTGCTGGTCCTTTGGCTGGTCGTTCATGATAGGATTCAGTACTTTCGGTGGGTTGTTCGTATAAGTTGTCACCCAAATTGTAACCTAACAAAATAAGATAGAAAAATAAAATATTACTGAAAATTTTACAGCTGTTCTTATAATACTTACTGTTTCTATATCTGTGGTATCGGTTATTCCTACCAATCTACAAATAATGTCTTTAGTTTCGCCAGCCCTGTATGTCGATATTGGATACAGGGTTTTCGAGAAAATGTCATTTTGTGGGGTTAGGGACATTCTGTTTGATATACCCACTACCTATAAACCAAACAGTGTATTTTTTTTTGTATTATACAGAGTCAGCAAACTTATTATTTATTATTCTATGATTATTACTAAATTAACTGCTTACTTCGGGGCTATTTTTTAACATCATAAACTCGTTATCTTCTGTGTCAGGAAGATTTTTGCAATATATGTCACATTCGGTACATTTTCCAGTTATACATTTCATGCGGTTCCTAAAAATAATTTAAAACACTTTATTGTAATTACCAACTAAAATCGTACACAAATTTTTCTTTGAGATTTACGTACTATGCTGATACAATTGAAAATAATCATCATAAAACCGAAAATCTGTGAATAAACATAGGTTTTTGATATAACGCGATATCAAATGTGAAAGAGAGAGAGATAGTTAAGTTAGAAAAATAAATAAAAAAGTTATAGAATTTAAAATTATCTCGATTCATCGTTAAAAATGCATTTTTTCTAGATTTACTCACCTGCAATTTATACATTTGAAAATTGCTTGAGTTTCTTTAGGCGAATCTCTTTTTAACTAACATCAGAGGTCGGATATTATTTGTTGGAGACTCAGAGATAAGGTTTGATCTGTGTATGGATCCCACAATATTGTTTCTGAAAAGAAATAGATAATAATAGAGGCATTTGATTCTAAATTCATTTTATAAACATACTAGCGTGTACCCCCGCGACTTCGTTCGCGTCGAATTAATCATTTGTAATGGTGATGATAAAGCAAAGCAAGAATTTCTATTAACATACAAACTGGATAAAATTTTCTTACATTTATGTCAGCATGAGAAAAAACAATCGAGAATAAACCCCTCCTTATCGAACCTCTACACCCCAAAGTCAATCCGTTTGCCTAAAATCAGCTTTAAACGTCAAGCAGTTTAAGCAGGATCGTGATTACTCAATGGAACCCTGTATAAATTTTCAAAAAACCTTAAAATATGTAAAACAACAATATAAAATATACGTGTTTAAGAGTTTTTTCCGAAAAACTCACCGGTTTTTCGGAAATTACTTTAATATAATTCGGAAATTCTAATATTTGGGGGGTGGTTTCACCCCCTTAGAATTCTAGTTTCGAAAAATCCCTCCTTATCGAACCTCTACACCCTAAAGTCAATCCGTTTTCCAAAAATCAGCTTTTTATGTCGAGCGCTTTAAACAGGATCGTGATTAATCAATGACCAGATTTTTTGAAACACCCTGTATACATTTTTAAAAAATCTTAAAATATGTAAAAAACAAAATAAAATATACATATTTAAGCGTTTTTTCGGAAACTTGACCGTTTTTTAAATAAAAATATTGTAATATTTGAGGGGTGGTTTCAACCCCTTGGAACTGGAATTTTGAAAAGTCCCTTCATATCGAACCTGTACACCTTAGAGCCAACCTGTATGCCAAAATTGAGCTTCTTACGTTGAGTGGTTTGAACAGGATCCTGAATAATCAGTGAGTCAGTCACTTAAGGATTTTATATATTAGTACAGATTACAATTAGTGGAACAGCATTACTTATGCATTTTTTATACACTTTATAACATAAATATCTACTATTTGAGTGCCAATAATCATAGAAGAATAAACTACAGTAGCCAGGTTGTACGAGAAGTTTAAATTAACAGCAGTTATATCTCGCAAGTTCCATTATCCTCTAACCCCGAAAGTGGTGAAAATTTAATATAAAGCGTTAGAATGTCAGGTCTCCCATATGGGAGCATACGGTTTCTGGTCAGGTCGGTGATAATATATGCCCTAGGAAAAGCTGGGCGTAATGAAAGCCATACGTTATTGATGCGAGTTAAGCTCGAGGTCAGACAGAAAGTTACACAGACACTAAACTGTTAGAATACGTGTTTCAACATTGAAAAGCCGGCAGCTTTGTGTCGTATTTGATACAAGAAACACTACGTTATTTTTAACAAAATCTTGTCCTAAAAACTACTTGAAAAATTTGGCGCCGGGAGGTACGTATAGCCGCCCATACTAAAATATGTTAATATCTCGAAAACTGAGACTTTGACTGATTTTGATGTTATTACAAATTTTGTTGCAAATATTATTCCTAATCTTAATTTGAAAACCGCGTTTCGCTAGCTTCTGTAATTTTGGAGTTACGATTTTTTTAAATTTTTAACTCCCTCCCATACCCCCTTACCAACCCCCCACCCCCACCAAAAACTAAGACAGACAGACAGACAGTAACACCAAATAAGAACGCCCCGGCGAAGTAGTATTTATAAAGAGTGCCGCCGGGGAAAGAACGTTCCTGGAGAGAGGACAGAGGTGTAGGTTAGATTTTAGTGAGGTAAAAATCCCACATAACTCGTCTGGCACATAGAAGGTTTTACCAGGCGAGTACCTGTTGCAGGTTTCCCCCTTCACCTCTTAAATAAAAAAAAAACAGACAGACAGACAGACAGACAGACAG